AATATCAAGTCTTTTCAAGTAAACCGGTTCAAGTCCAATTCAAGTCCCAAGTCATTGGTGTAAAAGTCCAAGTCAAGTCACAAGTCTTAGAACATTTTTTCAAGTCAAGTCTAAAGTCATAAAATTAATGACTCGAGTCTGACTCGAGTCCAAGTCATGTGACTCGAGTCTGACTCGAGTCCAAGTCATGTGACTCGAGTCCACACCTCTGTTTTTTAGCACCTGGCAGCTCTTTTTTACTTTTCATCCGTAAACACTCTGCATCTTTCACGTTATTCAGTTTATTTTGAAAAGTCTTAACAGGATCTCGAGCTTTATTGTGAAAGGTTTATGTGGAAAATAAACAAGCGGACACGCGATGGTTTTACCGTTGTTGTTGCTAACGACAACGATGGTTATATTAAATATAAGAGAAAGAGAGAGCTTAAATTAATACAGCCACTACAGTCACCATCAAAACCATGAAAAAAATATTGCTGTAAACAGTTTATTTTGCGACACCACGAAACAAACGATAGCGTAAATTGAAATGATAGACGTTTTTATATCGTCATCCGATATATATCGTTATATCGAACAGCCCTATATCCTGATAAATATTTTTGGTCATAACGCCCTGCTCTACCAACTACAGCAGTTGTTAATAGTCAAAACTGAGGAATCGCACAACCAGAAGACAACACTGCAGTCACACAGGACAGCTACAAGCACCTGGGAATCGCACAGGTAAATGGGAACCATGAAGAGACTACTAGGAAAGCGACAAACACCAAATACTTGCAGAGGGTCAGGCAATGTCCCGAGAAGTCGGATGATTGGGAAGGACAAGATCTAGGCAATCTACGCCTACACCCTACTGTTAGTCAGATACCCTGTTGGCCATAGGAAGCACTGACAAGGAAGCTCCTTACGGAGTTTCACCCCAAGTCCAGCACCTTGAGACTGTACTGTAAACGGAAAGGAGGAGACTGAGCACTAGTGGGAGTCATAACCAGTATTTAGCATGAAATACCAAACATCCAGGTGCATCTGGAAGATGGCCTATAACTGTGGTTGGTAAATACCTCAGGCAACAGAAAGCTGGAAGGACAGGCCCCTGCATGTGTTCCATGCTGCATTTTCTAGCGTTAGTCTGGAGTGCCAACATGAGGTATAACGACTGTGACTGTAGCCGCTGACAGTCCAAATGTCTGTGCATGTCTCTGCTGTGTGTAGCTGCGCAGCAATTTTTATACCCCTAGCCAACTTCTGAATAATATCAATAATAACAACAACAACAACAACAACAATAATAATGACTGCTGGAACACAAGGTGCTTTCATTTGTGGGACATGTCACAGAAAATGGGGCAGACTTTGAAAAACAGCTTTGTTACTTTTTTTTTTTTAACAGTAACTCTGTCAAAAAAAAGAGTTAAAAAAACAAATCACGACAACTGAGTTAGTGGTTCCTGCTCACCACGAGACACAGCACGTCTTAGCACCGCATTAATATCCAACTTACCGCATGCCTGAAAGGTCCAGTGAGAGGCAGAGAGGGTTTTGCAGCGTTGCTGTATATACCAGCCGCGGATTACCTCACAACAGTCTTTTACTGGACTTCCTGATTCCACGAAAAAACTTTCCACTCCGGACGAATTTTGAGCAGTCGGGTTGTTTAACACAGAGATTTCCGGTATTAATTTTCAAAATAATATGGATGCCTGGTGTGTTTTTCAAAATAAGGTCCAGAAGGGTTGTAAAGGCTTGTAGAAACGCTTTTGCCCATCAGAGTATGCTTGTAGCTCATAATTATAAAGCCTGGACGGTTTGCCACTTCATTTTACCCGTTAAAGTATGCTTGTAGGTAACATTCACAAAGATAGCATGGTTTGGCACTGACTTTTAGCGGTTCAGGTATGATTCTAGCTCATATTCACAAAGGTAGGATGGTTCGCCACTTAATTTCGTGTTGTGCGCATGCGCAAAAACAACGGTTAGGATGGTTCCCCAGAACACCTGTTGAGGTCTGAAATTGGCATTTTCTTTTTCAGGGATTGTGCAGATTTGATAAGTGTTTTTTGCGATCGTTGTTTTGTTGCATGATCCAGTTTTAACCTAAGCTTGGTCTCGTGGACTGATGGCCTCACACAGTGGTGTTTTTGATATGGGCGACACGGCGAGGTGCGCCTGCTGCTTGCCGCACAGGGAGGAGGGGCGAGGGATTCTCTGGCATTTAATAACCAGCTCGCAAAATAAAAGTAAATAAAAGAAAGCAACAACCACAAAAACAGAATACATTATGATATAGATTTATAATTTGCACCGATGTGTTTTCTAAATTCTGTCACACATATGCGAAAAGTGAGCCCTCAGTGCGCCTGCTTGCTGCCGATGCTGTGCTGCTGAGGTCTATCACGCAACCTCTCGAAAGGGGAGGGGGCAGGGTGCTTCCAAATAGAGCACATTTCATTCATAATGTTGTCAGTTCAAGCCTATTATGTATTAATTATTTCTTCCTGGGCTGTACGAAATCCCAGAAAAACCCCTATACTAATCGAATCTCTGCACTAAGGTGTAGGTCTGTTAGGTTATGTTGTGGTGATTTTCGGGTTTGGGGATGGGTGTTGATACTGGAGTGCAAAATGAACACCAGCGGAAGATTGACAAGAAAAGGTTAAAGCCATCAGGTGCTCAGTGTACAAAAAAAGAGAAAAAAGGAGGAGAAACTAGCAAAAGATACAGGTAAGCAGATGTGTCATTGGATAATGACAGGTATTATGTATAACATGTATCCTGAACAAGATAACATTTCTGCTTACGTTTGTTAGCCACTGGTCTATCTTAGTAAGCAGTAGACAGACACTGATTGTTGATTTGCCTCCTATTGTCATTGTATGACAAATCATAATGGCTGCTTGTTAGCCATTTGCATACTCTCTCTCTCCACACACACACACACACACACA